GTTAATTATCATTCAAATTAGGTAATTAATATTCATAAATTTTACCCAAAACTAATCAAATCTGCGCACTAGTTCAGAGCATCCATGTGCCAAGTTTCATCAAAATCCAATGAGTGGTTCTTCCGATATCTGTGGAACAGTCTTGGAACAGCTAAAAATCAGCTAATTATCATGCAAATTAGGTAATTAATATTCATAGATTTTTACCAAAACCTAATCAGCTCTGCACATTATCCCAGAGCATCTATGTACCAAGTTTCACCAAAATTTGATTAGTGGTTCTTGAGATAACGATGGAACAAAAAAAGTGACTCATCATCATACATACATACATACATACATACATACATACATACATACAGACAGGGTAACTGCAAAGACTCCCTTTTGTGCTTCGCACACGGGAGTCAAAAAGTAGATTACCTGTAAATTGGTTTGTAGTGCAGTCTTGATGATAGCATGAGCTCTAGGACGATGAGCTAATGTCATGGTATACATTCGTAATCCAATATCCTGATTTGGTGATAACATATACACTAACAGTTTCCCAAGTTGCACTCGTAATACATCCCGAGAAGCCCAGAGTAAGTGATACCACTGTTTACGTCCTCTGCCACCAGTTCTCTCCTACAGGTATAAAGACACAAAAATAATAAAATGTGTTTTTTTCACTCTTATTAACAAGAGTGTCAATGACAAGTACAACTCTAGAACATGTACAGATTACTCTTTCTTAGTGGAAAGTACTGGGAGGATTTATTATAAAATGACAATACCTGCGTTGTAGCAATACATTCTATGAGGAAATCATACAGGTATTCTATGAAATTTCTTTCTTCATCCAAGCTACTGACATCACTCTGCAGTTCACTGAAGATGTCCAGGATTACTGGCGATGGTTTCTTAACAAATAAGGGCTCTGTGCAATCAAGATTTAGATATAATAGTCTGTTATATTATAATGTTGGTGTATGCTAACACCACATGATTTCACATGATAAATTGTGTTCCCACAATCTGCTTATGTTTTAACATATAGAAGAAATGCTACAGCACTGCTGTTGTTTTTATCAGATCATACGTCATTTTTTGAACATTTGTTATCATATTAACTGTAAAATACTCTCTTTTTAGCTGGAATTATTTTTTGCTGAAAAGACTTTTGGCTATTTTATGGATCTTTGATGAGTTGAGTTTAAGGGAAAAAAAAAAAGTATTTTAAGACTTTATTTTTACTGATTTATACCTTCAGCGGAAATAGTGGAAATAAATTTCAGGTTAAAACTAAGTACTTTACAGTACTACATATATAATTATGAATTGGCCAAATATTTAACTTGACAATGCATTATAGTGTAAAAGCAATGAAATCAAAGCAGATCAACATGAGACATTGTCAAAAATGAAATAGAGCTCACCTGAATACAAAATCAGATTCACCGCTAATGTAAAAAATTTCTGAAATCTACGAGGTATGTCAGTATCTGATAATGGGATTCTGTCTTTACTTGATGATTGTATTTTTCTTCGTATTGCACCTGGTTCTGACATCAGAGAGTAGCGTCTGTGCTCACTCATAAGTAGTTGTCCATGTGGGATGCCAAGCTCTGTCAAGTCATTCTCTCTCTCATCATTCTCATCTGACTGAAATCGTCCCTCTGCACTAAAACTCCTATCAATTCTACGGTATGGATGTTTCATAAACTTGCCCATAGTTGAAACTTCTGTATATTAAAAATCCAAACAATTTATTTGACCTGGTCTTGATTCATACCCATGTGACTGGTACTTGTGGCATTACAATAAAGCTAATACCACTTATACCACATTGCAATGAAATAAACAGACAACAAAGATGCCTGTATGATCCATCAATGTGTACAGAACAAGGTGTTGTAGGTAATCAGACACACACTTGTCATATTCCTAAATCAAATTCAAATCAAATTTAAAAGAAATCCAATATTATTTGTGGTTCCGGATTATCAACTTTGATCAAAGATGGATATGGCTATTAGCACAACTTTCTCACATTAATTTCCTGAAATAAGATCAATTAATTATGATATCCTCTGTGACAGGACTATTTGAATGTCTGAAGTATTCAATTTGACCAATTTTTAATTGCCACCAGATAGATTTGGGTGCCACTATTTTGTAATTGTCATTTATTTGACAGAGTATTTCACTAAACAAAAAAAAATATATTTAACATTTTGAGAAGTTATCCACGTCTATCTTTGAAGAAATGACAACAAAAACAATAATTAATGTTAAGATATGTATAGAATTCGCTGGTTTGGGGTTAGTAAAGCAGGAGACAAATAATACAAAAATTGCAAATATAGTTAGTAAGCTGAGCTATAAAGTACAAAGAGACATTGAAAATATAAAGAACATTACAAAACAAAAATAAGCAGAGTAAATTTTTAAATCACACATTTAAAAAAAAAAAGGAAAAATGGCATTGGCATAGAATAAGGGTATGTAATAGACATTGAGATGCCAATTTTTATTGCACAAGTCACGAGTGTAATACTTTGGGGTCAGGGTTTGAAACATTGTCATAATATTCAAAATGGCAATGTAATCCAAACTCCTCACCCCTAATCTACACCAATACCGCAATAATGAAAAAGTGTAATTTTTTTACAACTTCCCTCCAAACTTTACTGCAAAATGAAGTTAAAACTGATGTAACTGAAAAAAAGCCACCCCACCCACATGCATAGCATACAACACTAACAATAATATTCATTTTTAAAATATGATACTGCAATACTGATGATGAGTTGAACCTTAATATATTTGGAAAATCAAAGGCAAAGAAAGAGTTAAATCATAATGCATTATGGGATAGTATAGATAAAAAAGAATGCGATGGACGCAACATGTAGTAAAGTAGAAGTGAAGTGAAAATTGACCTTCTACATGTACTTGATTAGAACTTCGCCAATATTGTTCCTGTTTTATGAATTCATAGTACTTTCTCACTGAAAGATTAGAAACAATGAGTAATGATTAGTGACTGACTGTAACGATGCATTTAAGTCAGAATGCACCTAGTCTGATTATAAACATGGATTGTTATAATGCAATAAATATGTAGCTTAAAAAGTGATGATTGTCATGGCAACAAGCATTCAGTCAGGACTTTCAAACAACTTTAGACATCAAAAAATTTGCATATTAATATACACAGATTAATATCAGGGAAATACAAATCAATTGGATCATATGAAACATTACAATGAATTTAAAGCTGATGTAATATACAGTCTCAATTTTTCTTTCTCAGGGATGAAAACAACCACTAAAAAAATTGAAATAATGTATGTGCCATTAAAACCATTAAAATAACTTGACATGGTGCTATTTGTTTTGATTGGTGGACACTAACATGACAAGGAACTATACATACATGAATAACATTGTATGCAATGCTGCAAGAGGCAAACCTATTTAGTTTATTAGTATTATTAATAATATACAAGTATACTAATGATAATTCAGTAAAAGTAATGTTTCTCACCAGAATAACTGTCATACGCTTGAAGAGACGGAACGGTCACGGATTCCTCTTTGTACAATCTCTGTAAGTGATCGAGAGCTTCTTTTATAACGTACCAGCGAATTTTACGAACATACTTCCCCGCTTCTGATGATATACCTAATGATGAATAACAAAATTTGTTGTTGTTATTGTATGCTTAAAAAGTAACAAGAAATATATTTGAAGTGGGATGTACCATCTGCCTTTATTAATAATGTAGTAGTATGTAAAATATCAAGCTTGGCAGAGTTGATGATTGGACTTGACCTAAGTTTACTCATTTTCATTGTGATACACTGCTGGTATTCTGGATATGATGAAACAAGGCGATACGAAAAAAACAAGCTTTACCATGGATTTCTTTTTCTTTGTCTTCTAAGATGCCAATCATAGTGATGAGATCATCAAACTGTTGGAATAGATGAATTCCACCAAGACTAGAAAATAAAATAGTAAACAGCATGTAGTAAGGTTGAGTCTTACTGAATGAAACACAAAGTGGAAAATACACAGGTTAAAAGGTAAACTGATGTGACATGATGGAAAGATTGCGAAAACAATAAATAAACAGTTTGTAGGAAATTTTATAATCATACAGAAAATGTTGGCCAGTCAAAGTTTACCACTCAAAAGTGGATAAACAAACTCTGATGCGGTTTAAGTGAATACTAGAGAACTATCCTCTGTGATAACACTATAAATCTAGAATAGCATACCACTAAAAACAATAGACAAATTTATAGTTAGTTCCTAAAGATTTTGTACATCAAGCGGATTATGCATCAAATAACAAAAGTTGTGTCATTTTGGAATCCATATTTGCATTCTGTAACTTCATTGATGTGTAACTGCAATAGTTGTCATACAAACAACAGATCATATTCTCCAAAATCTTACTTCCTATTTTACAATCGTCACAGATATGTGATCAGTAACACAGCAACTAACCAACCAACACAGTGGACCAATGTTTTCTGTTAAAATATTAATACGTTTTTGTTATATGCAACTTACCTACAAGACCTAACAACAATACATGCTAAGAAATGTTCAATATCACCAATTAATAATGCTTTTTTCTCTTCATCAGTTTCGGGGTCATCACTTCTATGAACTTTATTGATGGCAGATACAACATTACACAATGCTTCCACTAAACCATTGTCAAGCATTACTTGGGCCATGCCATCAATATTATCAAATAACTGAAAAAAAAATTACATTTTTTTAACTATTTTATTTAGCACACAACTGGCCACTATGAGAAGGCATATAGTATTATGATAGACAATCGGTTCATGCACACAACTCACCTGTATGAGAAGGCATATAGTATTATGACAGACTGCCGGTTCATGCACACAATTTTCAACCAATGATAGCACTGGAATGATGGATAATTGTTTGAATTTACTAGCATTTTGAAGTAATGTTGGATCAATACTGTGGAGAAAAAAAAATGTAGATACGAAAACTGTGAGAAATTAATTGACCTTAATCCTGACATTTGTGGGGTGTGGAAGTCATTTTCTCAAATACATGTAGCTGCATCTTCATAAGTACCCTTATGTATAGGTATTGCAAAGTATTAAAAATGAAATCTGTCAGTACACATTCAAGTATCAGGAATGCATTTAGACAAGCCCATACAACAAGTCTTAATTATTTTGAGATATTTAGAGTTAGGTTACTTACTCTTCATCAAGACTGATTTGTTTCCCAAGTGTCAAAGTAAAACATGCTTCTACCAACTCCCGAGTAGCGCCATGTTGGTGCAGCTGATTAGCCAATAAGTAGAACCCCTTTTGTTTTAAGAACATATTACACTGTACTTCAGTGGCTCTATGAAAGTAGGAATACAATAACTGAAAAATAAAAAAATATGAAAAGTATAAGTAATGTATATATATATATATATATTTTTTTTTTGTATGTGCAAGTTGCAAGTGCTGACATATAGTGCATTTTTGCCACAGAAGCCATATTCATGTTTTGGGACTACACACATGACAGGGCTGTATGGCCATCTCTCTACCAAATGGCAATTTAATGCGCTATCCTGGCAGGTCGAACACAAGTACCTGCGGACCTTAACCAATGTTCCCCAAAGTTGCATTCGTTAGTAAATGAATCTCGGCCAGTGGATTTGGTCTTCCCATCAAGTCTGTGGCACACTCGCCCAGGGTAGGGGTCGACCCTTTGATGTTCAGCCTAAGGTAGGATTTGAACTCATGTCTACTGATCATGAGTCTGATGTATACAACCGCTATCCTACCAGTGATCGGTCAGTAATGTATATTTTGCATCTCTGTTTTACATTTGGGACAGTAATTTGGATAGCTGACAAAATTCTCTATGGTCAGTGAGACAATGACCGCATAGTGTAAAGAGATATACTCTTCAAGACAAGCCATAAAAAACTGCTTTAACCCTTGCACTGCTTAGTGGTTGTTACTGGTGTCTATGCAAAAGTACATCAAAATCTTGAAATAGAGGAAATAACTTGTACAGGTTTTCACACTCTCTATACTACAGTTATTAAACATAGTTGAACTCTGGTGACCTTGCCCTTTGTTATATAATATAATTCCCTTTAACATAGTTTGTTTCAATATAAATATGCATTGTCATAATTAATTTTGAATACAAAAAAGTTTTGGGGTTGAACTAACAGTGGGGAACCAGTCTACCGAATGTCCTTTAAAGATGTAAATATCTTACAAAAACATTTGTGCCTTATTTGTTTAATTATTTTAAGGGACATAATTTCCAGCTTTATTCAAAGTAATTCAGATATTTTAGTATTAAAACAAATGCCTCATTGCAAAAAAAAAGTACTGCATTTAGACGTAAATAGATTCATAAAACATGCAAGATAACAGAAAATCTTAGCTGGCTTTTGTCCAAGTATTTTGTACAGGTGTCTGTCAAAAATTAATGATTCACCGAGACAAATATGAACTGCCTCATTGTGTGACTACTGTATTATATGAAAAGTAAAAAAAAAAAAACACCCTTTATGAATAGCTATCATGTTGCAAGCTCTGCTTTGTATGCAAATCAACTTAAATAGTTAGTTGGTGTCCAGTGGAAGGG